GTGAACAAGCTCAGTAAATTCCTGAGGCTCCCGGCAAGGACTCCACCACTCCTTGCGAAACTTCCCAGCTGGAATTGAAAAGGCAGAAAACATCAGTTTTCTCTCCCTCGACAAACAGAGCTTGGGATTCCTTTCACGACAGTATTTGGATTTTTAATGTCAGTCCATATTTAGCAGGAGGGAAAAAAAGCCTCCCTTCCTTCCTGTCACATTTTCCACCCTCGATGACATCCAAGATCAGAAACAAGCAAGCGCTGGCCCGGGAGGGAGGATGCAGCTACCCGAGCGTGGGAGAGCTTGGAGAGGGGCAGCAGGGACATTCCCATTTGGGATTCCCGTTTCAGGGGACACACCCTTGGAGGAGTGGAAAGAGCCAGTGAGAAGGGGACAGAGCCCTGGAGGAAGGGACAGAGCCCTGGAGGAAGGGACAGAGTCCCCGGAGCCCGGGTGTCCCTTCCAGCGCTCCAGCCTGGAGCATCTCCCAGAGGGATGGCCCAGAGAGCAGCCAGGCCACAAGCCCCCAAGCTGGGATATTGGTCCCAAAAATGCCTTTGGCCACCTGGATCTGCCAAGGAGGGCCTGGTCCGACTGTGGGTCAGGAGGGTTCCTCACTGAGCCTGAGTGGTGGAGGTGTCCAGGGAGCCCGGCCATCCTGCAGCAGGGCAGTGGTGGGTGGTGGCAGGAGGTCGTGGCCATGGTGGCCCTGCCCTGCAGATGTTTTCTGGGTCTTGGAGGGGTGTCCTCAGCTTGGACCCCCGTGGATTGCTGCAGACCCACAGGTGGAAGTTCACAGAATCATGGAATGGTTTGGGTTGGAAAAGGATCTTAAAGCTCATCTTGTTCCATCCCCTGCCATGGGCAGGGACACCTTCCACTGGCCCAGGCTGCTCTAAGCCCCATCCAGCCTGGCATTGAAAACTTCCAAGGATCCAGGGGCAGTCACAGCTTCTCTGAGCAACCTGTGCCAGGGCCTCCCCACCCTCACATGGAAGATTTTCTTCCTAACATCTAATCTAACCATACTCTCTTTCAGTGTCAGGCTATTCCCTCTTACCCTGTCACCCCAGGCCCTTGTAAAAAGTCTCTCCATTTTTCTTGCGGGCTCTCTTCAAGTACTGAGAGATCCCCATTAGGTCTCCCGGATCCTTCTCTCCTCCAGGCTGGACAATCCCAATTTCCCCAGCCTTTCCCCGCAGGAGAGGTGCTGCATCCCCATCAACTTGCCGGCCTCCTCTGGCCTCGCTCCAAGGGATCAAATCCAAGAGCCCCAGCCCGCGATCGCTTTCAGAAATCACTATTCCCACTAACAGACACCCCCGCAAACACCAAACCCCAAGTTCAGCGCAGACAGGGCGGGGGTGCCCCGACTCCACGGGCACGCGTGGGTCGCGCCCGCCGCCCCTCCCATCACCCCCACGCCACCACAACAGCCCCGTGCCCATCCCCGGGGGTCACCTGCCACCCCCTCCCCGCTCACCTGCGGCCGCTGCTCCCTCAGCGCCTCCCGCCCAAACGGCTCCGCTGCGAGGCCGCCTCGGCCGCCCGTAACCATGGACGGCGCAGGCCGGGGGCGTGGCCGGGGCGTGGCCATGGGCGCGGCCATGGGCGTGGCCAGGCGGGCCCCCGGCGCGTGGCGGTGCTGCCCCCTGGTGGCGCGGAGGCGGCACTGCGCCCCCCCCGATCCCGCGCCCCAAAATTCCGCAGTAGGAAATTAATCGATTAACTGTTAATTAGGGAATTAATTGCAAACAAAATGTTTCCGTGGGATACTACGGGAATGCCGGAGAGGGGCTTTTAGGAAGGAGCTGCAGGGGCAGGACAATGAGTAAGGTGTACAAGTTGAAAAATGGGGAATTTATATTGGATATTAGGAGGAATTTTTTTTCTCTGACCATGGAGAGAACAGGAACAGGGAAGCTGTGGATGCCCAAACGCTGGAAGCTTTCAAAGCCAGGTGGGATAAGGCCTTGAGCAACCTGGTCGAATGGGGATTCTCCCTGCCTGTGGCAGGACGGCTTGGAATAATCCTTAAAGCCCCTTCCAAACCTTTAACATTTTGTTATTCTATGATTCTAGGATTCTATTATCTTTATTGTATGATTCTGTGATTCTGTGATAGAAATTACTAAGTGCAACTGAGCGGCTTTTTCTTTTTTTTCTCATGAGGTAAGTTTTGATCACCAAAAATATCTCCTCTTAATTAGAAACAACCCAGAAAAATTATCCCTTTTTATAATTTACAGTGAGAAAAGCTGGCTTCAATTAATTATAATCACAGGATGCTTTGGGTAGGAAGGGAGCTTAAAGACCATCTGCTTTTACCCCCTGCCACGAGCAGGGACAACTTTCCACTATCCCAGGTTGCTCCATCACCTGTGGCCTCGGACACTTCCAGGGATGAGGCTTTTCTGGACAAACCGTGCCAGTGCTCACACGAAAGACCACGTTCCTCATATCCAGGTGGAACTTCCATCACTTTCTGCCTTTTGCCTCTTGTCCCATTGCTGGGCACCACGGAGCAGAGCCTGGTCCATCCTCTTGGCACGCCACTTTTAGATGTTTATACACATTAATGAGGTCCCCTCTCACATGTCTGTTCTCGAGGCTGAACAGGTCCAGTTCCAAGAATCACAGAATACTGAGGGTCAAAGGGACCTCTGGAGATCATCCACGCCAACCCCCTGCCAAGGCAGTGTCACCCAGAGCAGGTGACACAGGAATGTGTCCAGGTGGGTTTGGAATGTCCCCAGAGAGGGAGACTCCAGGGCCTCCCTGGGCGGCTGTTCCAGTGCTCTGCCCCCCTCAACATAAAGAACTTCTTTGTCATATTGGGGTGAAGCTGCTTGTGTTTCAGTTTATGGCCTTTAGTCCTTGTCCTGTCGCTGGGCAGCACTGGAAAGAGTCTGGAACCATCCTGGAGATATTTATACGGATTGGTGAGATAGTCTCTCAGTCTTCTCTTCTCCAGAGTGACCAGGCCCTGCTCCCACAGAGTCTCCAGGCAGGAGGGATGCTCCTGTCCCTCAGCAGAGTCTCCTGGCAGGAGGGATGCCCCTGTCCCTCCGCAGAGTCTCCTGGCAGGAGGGATGCTCCTGTCCCTCAGCAGAGTCTCCTGGCAGGAGGGATGCCCCTGTCCCTCCGCAGAGTCTCCTGGCAGGAGGGATGCTCCTGTCCCTCAGCAGAGTCTCCTGGCAGGAGGGATGCCCCTGTCCCTCCGCAGAGTCTCCTGGCAGGAGGGATGCTCCTGTCCCTCAGCAGAGTCTCCTGGCAGGAGGGATGCCCCTGTCCCTCCGCAGAGTCTCCTGGCAGGAGGGATGCTCCTGTCCCTCAGCAGAGTCTCCTGGCAGGAGGGATGCCCCTGTCCCTCCGCAGAGTCTCCTGGCAGGAGGGATGCTCCTGTCCCTCAGCAGAGTCTCCTGGCAGGAGGGATGCCCCTGTCCCTCCGCAGAGTCTCCTGGCAGGAGGGATGCTCCTGTCCCTCAGCAGAGTCTCCTGGCAGGAGGGATGCCCCTGTCCCTCCGCAGAGTCTCCTGGCAGGAGGGATGCTCCTGTCCCTCAGCAGAGTCTCCTGGCAGGAGGGATGCCCCTGTCCCTCCGCAGAGTCTCCTGGCAGGAGGGATGCTCCTGTCCCTCAGCAGAGTCTCCTGGCAGGAGGGATGCCCCTGTCCCTCCGCAGAGTCTCCTGGCAGGAGGGATGCTCCTGTCCCTCAGCAGAGTCTCCTGGCAGGAGGGATGCCCCTGTCCCTCCGCAGAGTCTCCTGGCAGGAGGGATGCTCCTGTCCCTCAGCAGAGTCTCCTGGCAGGAGGGATGCCCCTGTCCCTCCGCAGAGTCTCCTGGCAGGAGGGATGCTCCTGTCCCTCAGCAGAGTCTCCTGGCAGGAGGGATGCCCCTGTCCCTCCGCAGAGTCTCCTGGCAGGAGGGATGCTCCTGTCCCTCAGCAGAGTCTCCTGGCAGGAGGGATGCCCCTGTCCCTCCGCAGAGTCTCCTGGCAGGAGGGATGCTCCTGTCCCTCAGCAGAGTCTCCTGGCAGGAGGGATGCCCCTGTCCCTCCGCAGAGTCTCCTGGCAGGAGGGATGCTCCTGTCCCTCAGCAGAGTCTCCTGGCAGGAGGGATGCCCCTGTCCCTCCGCAGAGTCTCCTGGCAGGAGGGATGCTCCTGTCCCTCAGCAGAGTCTCCTGGCAGGAGGGATGCCCCTGTCCCTCCGCAGAGTCTCCTGGCAGGAGGGATGCTCCTGTCCCTCAGCAGAGTCTCCTGGCAGGAGGGATGCCCCTGTCCCTTGCAGTCTCCTAGCAGGAGGGATGCTCCTGTCCCTTCACAGTCTCCTGGCAGGAGGGATGCTCCTATCCCTTCACAGTCTCCTAGCAGGAGGGATGCCCCTGTCCCTTCAGTCTCCTTGCAGGAGGGATGCTCCTGTCCCTTCACAGTCTCCTTGCATGAGGGATGCTCCTGTCCCTCAGCAGAGTCTCCTAGCAGGAGGGATGTTCCTGTCCCTCGCAGTCTCCTTGCAGGAGGGTTGCTCCTGTCCCTTCACAGTCTCCTGGCAGGAGGGATGCTCCTGTCCCTCAGCAGAGGGGCAGGAGGGATGCTCCTGTCCCTCAGCAGAGGGGCAGGAGGGATGCTCCTGTCCCTCAGCAGAGGGGCAGGAGGGATGCTCCTGTCCCTCAGCAGAGGGGCAGGAGGGATGCTCCTGTCCCTCAGCAGAGGGGCAGGAGGGATGCTCCTGTCCCTCAGCAGAGGGGCAGGAGGGATGCTCCTGTCCCTCAGCAGAGTCTCCTAGCAGGAGGGATGTTCCTGTCCCTCGCACCCGCGGCCGCGCTCCAGGTCCGCCCTGTCCCCGCTGCCCTGAGGGACCCGGAACCGGACACACCCCCTGTCAATCACTACCTGTCAATCACCCAGACGGGCGTGCTCCACAGCCAATTAGCGGCGGACGCGACGCAGGGGGGGCGGGTCCATAGCGGTGCCGGGCGCGCGGCGGCGGCGGGCGCAGGTGAGGGCCCCTCAGGGGCCGTGAGGGCGGCGGGGAGGGGACACCGGGGCCGCACCGGCCCCCGCGGCCTCCACAGCCCCGGCCGCCACCGCCGGCCGCTTTGCTAGGCGGATCTGCGGGCGGAGAACCTCCCGGAACTCCCCCGGGGGCTGAAGGTCGCGCTGAGGGCGGGGGGGGCCCCCGCCGTGAGGGCGCTCGGAGCCGCGTCGCGGCCTGCGGGCCGCTGTTCCCCGTGGGAAGGAGCCCTGTGCCTTCCCCTTTGGCTTTTCCACTGCTTATGCGGGATTCCCGCCGCGGCCCCTGGCGCTTGTCTTGGCCGTGCCGCCTTTTTTTCCCTGTCGGCTGTCGTGACCCTGCTCCCAGCCCGCCGGCGGAATCCAAAGTAGCGGGGTGGGAATAAACACGGCGTGGGCGATGGGAGAAAGACGCGAGGGTTGTGGAAGTGAAGCTGAGCGTTGAACTTGAACCCAAGCGAATTCTCTGTGCGTGTTTTCCGACAGGATTTCCCCTGTCTCGTCGCAGTGTCTGTGCCCAGGGCACGGTGCCTGCCCGAGCTTCTGGAGACAGGCTGAGGGTCACCAGCAGCCTCTGCTCACCCGGAGTCTCTGTCCCTCCGCAGGTGCTGAGCCAGGATGGGTTTGGCTGAGGACAAAGTGTACACCCATATTACGAGAAACCTCAGGAAGTTCGGGACTATCCGAGTGGCGTCGCTGGCCAATTCCCTGACCTGCCTGGTCGATTCTGACAGAGTAATTTCCTCTTTTCCTGAGCTCTGCCAGGCTCCTTTCCCAATGGCAACATAGAGCTGTCTTACCTCTAAGCCAGACCTTCTCTTAGATACCCTGTGTGTTTTTCCTAGGATGAACTCCTCGCCCGGGAGGAGACACGGGGCAACCAGGCAGCTGTCTTTAGGTTCTATCAGCACCTGAGGTGTCGGAAGGGCTGGGTGCAGGATCTCATCCAGGCACTGCACCAGAACAACGCAGGACACTTGGCTGATGAGCTGCAGGAAGTCTATGATACCTGGCAACTTCGACCTCGTATGTAGCCTCATCCTTCCTGGGTGTGCCCTGTGGTGTGTTGAAGGTGGGGACATGAAGTTGTCTCTGTGCCTGCCTTGGATTCCCATGGTGCTGGAGGTGTCTGTGACTGTCCCAGGGGTGTCCTTCACTGTGGTGAGATGTCTGAGGATGATGGGTCCATGTTTGAAGGTGCTTGGGTTGGTGGTGGGCTGAGGGAGGATGGAAAGATGAACAAAGGGGTGCTGTGGGCTTGGCTGATGTGGGGACAGAGCAGGGACACACACAGGGCAGCCTCAGCCCCCACACTTATCCTCTGCTTCCTCAGTTTTCCCACAGTGATCCACTTGTCTCTTCCAGGTTCCTCAGCTCCTGCTGCTCCCTCCTCCCTTCCCAGTGATGCCCATCCCACTGTCTCCTCCATCAGTGCCCAGACACCATCCTGGGGCCCAAATTCTGCCCCGTTGGCTGGGCAGCCACGCCGAGACCCGGCCACTGGTGACCACCCACCTGTCCTGCCCAGTGCTGCCACCCCCACAAGCACGGACCTGGAGGCCAGACTCCCTGTGCAGGAATCGGTGAGCAGGGCACATGTTGGATGGGGACACAAAGATCCCTTTTGGACCTTTTGATTGGGTATGGGGAGTCTGTGGTGGGGCCAGGCTCCTTCAGGGCCACCCCAAGCAGCCTCTTGCTGCTGATCCCTGCTGCATCTGGAGCTTACAGCTGATATACGGCCGTGTATCTGCTCCCTCTCCTGTCTCCCTCCATGGGGCTGCTTTGCCAGTCCAGGCTTCTCTCCACAACCCCCAACCCTTGGGTGTGTCCCAAGGAGAGACCCCCGATCCCCTTCGTAACCAGCCTCTCGGGGGTCACTGCTCAGGGTTTGGGACACCCCCGTGGTCCCAAACCCCCTCATCCCAGTGATTTAACCCAACTCATTTCCTTCCAGCTCCCCAAAAAACTCCCGGAGCAAGAGACTCCCCGGCCAGTTCCAGCTGGGAGCAAAGTCCCTGGCGGAGCGAGCGGTGGGCACAGCGGAGAGGAGAATCTCTCACGCCCCGCCGGGGCCGTGCCGGTGCCAGCGGGGACACCAGGGGTGGCCGTGCCACCGGCTGTGTCCCCGGAGCAGGGCCGGGACTGGCTGAGCCGCCGGCCGGTGTGCGTGGACAACGGGTTTTTTGGGAACGCCAACCACCTGCACCGCGGCGCGCCCGGCCTGGCCCTGGGCAGGTCTGTTCCATCGAGGGATGCAGGTGCCACTCACAGCCCTGGGCAGCCCAGGAACGAGCCCGAAGAGAGCTCGGATGTCTCCACGGAGTCACTGCCAAGGCTGGAGGGGGCCACTCATGGTGTGGGGCGGCAGCCCCCAAACTCAGTGCCAAAAAAACAGCCCGTGCCAATCTCTGGGCATGGTGAGCCCACGGGCAGCTTCGTGGATGTGCGCAGCCCCCTCTTCACCCGGGAGCAGTTGGATGTGGAGAAGAAGCGGGTCGGGATGCTGCCAGAGCACCCAGGGAGTGGAGGTGGGTTTCCCTCCTGGCAGAACCAGGCAGCCACTAGGGAGCAGGAGGTGCTGCTGAGAGTTTCACTGCAAGAAAGAAACTGGGATGCATGTCCAGAGATGGGAATGGGTCTGGAAGGGCTCTAGAGCATAAGTCTGATGAGGAGCAGCTCAGGAAGCTGGGAGAGCTCAGTCTGGAGAAAGGGAAGTTCAGGGGAGACCTTCTCACTCTCTGCAACTGCTTGATGGGAGGGTGGAGCAAGGTGAGGATTGGGCTCTGCTCCAGGTAACAAGCAACAGGATGAGAGGAAAATTGTTTCATGGGAAGTTTAGGCTGGATAGTGGAGAAAATTTCTTTTTGGAAGAGGTTGTCAAGCACTGTTTGAAAAAGCTGTCTAGGCCAGTGGTAGTCACCATCCCTGGGGGGATTTAGAAGACATTTGGATGTGGCATTTGGGGACATGGGTTAATGGTGGCCTTGGCAGTGCTGGGGAAGTGGTTGGAATAGAATAGAATAGAATATTTCATTTGGAAGGAACCCACAATGGTCGTCTCATCCGTCTGCATTTTAATTTTGTCAGTGGAGCAGCGCTGGGGTGTGAAAGTTCTCCTCCTAGTTTGCAGAGATCTTTGTATGCATGTGGGGGAATTTCAGCATCTTTTACATCCTTCACCTTTGGGCATCATAGAATCAGGATAAAGCCCTGTCCTCCACACCAAGGTCTTGGGGTGGGAAAAAAGACATCCAGCCCTTTCCCCTGTGCCATGTGGGCTCAGCACCTCCTGGCTGGGAGGACATGGAGTTTCAGGAGCCTTAAAAGCCTCTGTTTGCCTTGGTGTTCCCCAGCCCTGCAGCCCACCCTGCATGAGTTACCTGCAGCTGCAGGGAAAGCTCGGGTGCCACAGCAGAGCCAGGGCACTGGGTCCTGCTCCCTGTGCCACCCCCTGAGCTTGGGGACTGTCCTGTCACAGCTTCCTTGAGGAAGAGCAAATCTCACCTTTTAGGCCCCGTGGTTAACACAACACTTTATTTTCTCCGTGACAGGTGCTTCGATGGAAACAACTACCGTGGCTGCTACCCCTGTGCCCAGAGACACGTTCCCATCCCGTGACACCTCTGTGAAGTCTCTTACGCAAGAAAAGAAACTGCCCATTGGGAATACAGCCAGCAGCACCCCCTCTGTGCCAACGAAGGAGAAAGTAGGTGACCTTTCCTCCTGCCACTTGGATTTCGTTCGTGTCCTTGTGCACTCCCCATGTTTAGGTGATTTTCTGTTGCAGTGTCACACTGAGCTGGTGATGAGTTTATTCAGGGATTTTTTTCCGACACTGTGGTGTTCACGTTACCATCCACACGCTGTATGGTCGAGCATGGGAGAAGGGAGCCAAACTCTGTTAGGCTTTGACTCCTTATTTTTCCCCACCTTACTTTGCCAGTCAGTCTCCTGGCTTCCAGGTGCTGTTTTCCACTGCTGTCCTCACTGCCTGCCTCCCTCCTTCACCTCCCTGTTACCTGTGACCCAACCTTGTTGATGCAGGCTGTGCTGAAGCGGGTTTGTGTGGGACCTGTGTGCCCAAGACCAGGCCATTGGGTGCTGCCCTTGACACCCAGCCCCTCTCCTTGTCTCCTAAAGGTGCTCCCGGCCTCGGCAAACCCTGTCCTGGGCACAGCTGTGGTAGGCGGCTCCGAAGGCGTGGCTAGGAGATCAGCTTCCCGGGTGAGCTCTGCCACAAGCATTTGGGTGTCTCACAGTGATGAGGAGAGGGAAGAGGAGCTCAGCAAGCCGGGTGTCCTCATGTCCACCCCTCAGGGCAGCCCAGAGGTGATTGGCAGATGCCCAAGCTCTCGGGAGCCCAGCAACCACCGTTCCACCACCTCCAGCAGCCTTGGCCTCAGCAGCGACCCAGTCCTGGTGAGCAGGGATAGCCTGAGCTCAGGAGCAGCATTGCCCAGAGTCTCCTCAGTTCCTGCAGGGCCCAGAGAAAAGGAGGCGTTTGGAGCAAGAAGAGACTCCTGTCCTGCTCCGAGCTGGGACAGCAGCTCCCTGGACACCCATGAGCTCCGTGTGGATCATCACCCCAGCGTCCAGCTTGGAGCCGGCAATGACGGAGTCAGTCCCCTTGGAAGCTCCGTGAATTCCAGCTCTGGCAGTGGCCGTGACGCTGCCACCAGCTCACCTCAGGCCAGAGTCCCAAAGGGGGACAGCAATGGCCTGTCCCTGCTGTACATCCTTCCGGCCATCGGTGTCATTTCTGCCGTGGCATTCGCTGTGTACGCCCGGCTGCGGAAATAGTGGATGGGACACCACGACCGTGACACAGCCAGGGGGATTCCTCTGGCAGCAGGATTTTGGCCAATGCATTTGAAGCCTGAAGAGTAGCAGGGGGCAGTAGCGGCGTTGTTAAATCTTTTTCTGGAAGGTTCTGCTAGAAGAGGCCTTGGTACATGATGCTGTTGGGTTTGGGTCCATTCCTTCCCATTTCCCAACCATCTTCTTGGCTGTAGCCTTCTCTTTTCCTCCACCCTGGAGGAGAAGATCTCGCTCCAAAATGATCCATTGAGTCAAGAAAGGAAAGCACTCATGGTGATTCTCCCTGTCTTTCTTGTTTGGTCCCAGGAAGCCTCAGGGAAACATGTACTGGATATCCAAAGAGTGACCTCCAGGTTCCTTTGTGCAATGCAGCCAGGAGATGTTGTGCAGATATCTTGTAACAGCTGATTTTCTTGGCTCTGCTCATCTTGGGTTGAAAATGTGCCCAAGGGTGGGTGCAGCAGCCTCCACTGGGCATCTCATGTTCAGTTTGCCTTACTTGGTGTCTCTGGCTCTGCTGCTCCTTCTGGGATTGCTTTGTGTAGTACTGACCCTGGGGATAAACATGAGGGTCAGGAAAGAGCTGCATCTAACCAAGCATTATCAAGGATCAGCCTTATTTCACTCCCTTCAGGCAGGGAAAGGGGTTTCTGTTTTAAGAGGAATGTTTCAGGCAATGCCAACTTCAAGGAGCCTTGGTCCCACAAAAGGTTGTTGGGTGTCTGATTTTTAGGCTGGATTTTTGGAGCTTGGTTGGAAGGGTAGATGGAGTTCTTGCCCTTCCTGTTGCTATGGGGTAGGGGTATAGGAACCTTCTGCCCAGGCTGGGACACAAACAGGATCAGCTGTGACTGCAGGGAGGCCATACCAGAGTCTGAGGTGCTCTGAGCTATGGGGAGACCTTGTAGCACTTTCCAGTGTCTAAAGGGCTTGGAACAGACTGGTGTCCCTGCCCATGGCAGAGGGCTGGGATGAGAGACTTATTAATGGCCCTTCCAACCCCAGCCATTCTGTGATTCTAAAATGCAGTGAAGCAGCAACAGCCTGCAATAATTACATTGCTCCAGGTTGCTCCAAGCCCCATTCAGCTTGGCCTTGAACCCTTCCAGGGATGGGGCAACCACAGCTGCTCTGGACAATCTGTGTCAGTGTTTCACCACCCTTTCAGGGAAGAATTTCTTCCCAGTATCCCATCTATCCCTGCCCTCTGACAGAGGGAAGCCATTCCCCTTTGTGCCGTCTCCAGGTCCTTGTCCAAAGTCCCTCTCCAGCTCTCTTGTAGCCCATTGAGATACTGGAAGCTGCTGGAAGTGTTCTCCAGGCTGAGCACTCCCAACTCACCCAGCCTGGCTCCAGAGCAGAGGGCTCAGTCCTGTGGCCTCCTCTGGACTCATGCCAGCAGCTCCACATCCTTATGTTGGACACAGGTGGGGTCTCACCTGAGCAGAGCAGAGGAGCAGAATCACTTCCCTCATCCCCCTGTGTCCAGTAAGTTACTCATCCTGAATTCCTGCCATCAGCCCAACTTCCCAAAATCTGCTCTTCCTGCTGGCAGGGAGCTCAGCCCTCAGGGCCCTGGCTGCAAAGTGCAGCCATCACACCTGGAGCTTGGCCTGTGGTGGGAAACATCACTCAGCCTTCAATGGCTGCTCCTCCCTCCCAGTAGTTTCCTTCTGCCCAAAAATCCAAGAAGTGCCTCCATAAAACTAAGGACAGCCAAAGATGCCAGAGCGGGGTGTTGACTGTGTTGTGTCAGGGCTGCTTTCCAGAAGAGCTCGAGGTGTTCATCCCTTGCTCAGTGCCTGGTGCTGAAGGAGGAAGGGACTCTCCTTTAAACACACTCAGCCCCCTCTGCCAGGAGAGGGAATGTGGGGCTGCTCTTCCCCTTACAGATAAAATGGTTATCACTCCCTGACAGGAGGCACAGGAAGGGACTTGCCTTCTCCACACTTTCTGTAATTCAGGGCACATCCATGAGATCCCAAACCAGCTGCATCCATACCAAGGCCCTCTTCTCTGATGCTTTACTTGCCTGTGAAATTCTTCCCATGTTTTTCCATACATTTAAGCAACAGCTTGTACACTTTGCCTTTTCATGTCAGATTTCCTTTGTGAAACAGCTGGTTTGTCACCAGCTCAGACTGGGAAAAGCACACGTTCAGATTGCTGCTGTGAAGTGCCAGGACTTTCACAGTTGTTAAGTAGCACTTTAAAGCCTCATCAGCAGGAGATGGTGCAGGAGGGAGCTGTGTCCCAGCACATCTTTTACTAACAGGCTAAAAAGCCTTTTACTAACTATAATAAATTGGTTTGATGCTTCACACTTGACTTGTTGTGATTTGTGGGACAAAGAGCTGGAGGTTGATGCTGCTGTGCCTGGAGGAAATGCTCTGAAGAGCTCTGTTGTCAGTGACACTGAGAGACTGAGGCCATTGGTGCCAGGAAGAGGTGACAGGGTTCAGGGAAGCTTCCAGACCTAATTTTGGAGCAAACATAGGACCTGATCCAGAGGATGCCCACCATAGCAGGTATTCCTGTTGCTGGTATGATGCCCAGGATGAAAAGAGGGAAGATGGTTCTCGAGGCAGCAAAGAGCTAAGCTGCACAAGCCAGGATGTTGTCACCAAAGAGGAGCTGGACTGTTGCAGTACATTCACAGTTGAGACAGCCACAATACACAGAGTGTCACCATGCAATTTCAGAAAGCTTTAAGCATTCACCCATACAGAGTAACACCATGGCACTCCAGAAGGCTGCAAGCATCTGCCCTTCTTGTTCTTTAGCCCAACCTTTTATACCCCTCACGTTCATGTAGTGCAGCTGTGTGCCCTTGTTCCCTGTGTGATTGGTCTGTACACCTCAGCACTGCTTCTCATTACTTTCAATGCTGTTCACCTGCTTTTCACAGCTGTAGCCCACCAGGGATGAGGCTGGCCACAGCCCCACTCCTAATTACCACAAACTGTGGTAATTAGGACAAGTAAGACAAGTTCTGGGAGGAGAAATGCACCAAGCATCTGGAAAGTGTTGCAAACTTGAAGGGTGAAGGAGCTGAGGCTGGAAGAGAAGGGATTGGATGTAGCCAGGTGGACACAGTGCACAGATGTGTGCTGAGCTTGGTACCCACCCAGGCCAGGATGCTGCTTTATTCATTATCCAGGTTTTCTGCTCGAATTCTGTCCTGGGATCCTGCCCAGAAAATGGGCACCTTTTCCATGCTGGGCTGCCTTAGCCACTCTGGGTTCATCTCTGGAGGTGCTGCTCCTCTCTTCTTGTGCCCTGAGCAGCTCTGACCTGCAGAACAGAGGCACCAACATCCTTAAACCACTGTTCACCCCCTGTGTGCTGTTTGGGGACAAACAGGAAGCTTTTGGGAGGGAGCAGCCCTTTCCTGTGCCCTGTCCATGCTCCCAAGGGCTCTGCTCTGTGCCAAAGCTGACACACGAGCTTCCCTCACTTTCTGCTTTCCCGGCTCCAGCTGTTACAGCCCAGGTGTGGCAAACACAGTCAGCAGGGGCTGAAAACACCCAAGACCTTTGGCAGCTCAGCCAGTTCCTTTTTTTATCCAAGTGAAAGCAACGCTGCTCTGAAGGAGATGATTTGTGTTCAGAGAGCTCATCCTTTATCTCCTGTCGCTGCCAACCCCATTTATCCCCTTCCTCTACTCACCCAACAGGATATTAAAATCCACCAACGGAATTTGACCGATCCCTTTGTCCCATTTGCACTCTGGCAGCCAGGATTCAGCAAATTTCCATGGAAAAAATTATCACACCTTTGCGGAATGTTGGTGACTGATCCTTCAGGTATCGAATTAATGCCTGAGGATTGTGGTGAGCTGGGATTACCTCGGGGCATGTGAGGAGCACCCTGGGTCACCGGGGCTTGGTGTGACAGACAACAATTAACATTCCACACGGGAATCTCCACAACGGGAGCTGTCCTGGCATCCCCCAGGCTGGGAATCTGTGTTTGTCTTTTAAATTTTCATCCTGTTGGTTGCTGCTTACACCCCTCTTCATGGTTGCCTCAATTTTTCCACCACCGGGGGTTTTCCTGCTGTATTTGTTGATAAACGTGGGATCACGGATGTATCCACATGGGAATTATGTTGCGATGTAAAGGAGAGCTGGGGATTTTAAGATCTTAGCAGGAAATTCTTCCCTGTGAGGGTGGTGAGGCCCTGGCACAGGGTGCCCAGAGAAGCTGTGGTTGCTCCTGGATCCCTGGAAGTGTCCAGGGCCAGGTTGGATGGGGCTTGGAACACCCTGGGATAGTGAAGGTGTCCCTGCCCACGGCAGGGGATGGAACGAGGTGGTTTTTAAGGTCCGTTCAGGCCCGCCATGGTGGGTTGCAGACCGCCCCACGTCTATATGCATCGTCATCTGCATATGCAAATCATATTCAAATAAGCCCCTCAGCGCGCCCCAGCCCAGCCGAGCCTACTGCGGTTCTTCCCTTCGGCCCGCCGCGTTGCCATAGTTACCGAGCTGTCAATCACCGTGCCTTCTCCCGCCCTACCCGGACAGCTCTCTCGATCATTGGGCGGTTGCCGTGTCAATCTCGGCCCGGAGGAAGCCCATAGGCCAGAGCTGCCGCATATCGACCCGCCTCGCCCGGGTGCACGCTTCCGATTGGGCAGCCGCGCTTGTCACTCTACATGGCCGAGAGCAGGAGGCGGGCCCGGCTCCCCGCTGCCGCGCAATACCGGCCTTCCATTGGCTCATCCTCCTGTCGCTCTGCGCCACGGGGGGCGCGGATTGGCGGCCGCCTCACGGGGTGTCCCGCCCCGCGGGGCCGTGCGGCGCAGGCGCGCCGGGGGCGGTGGCGGAGGTGGGGCCGGGGGCGGCAAGGGGGAGCAGCGGGGAGGGGTGGGGACACCGGGGCTGAGAGGTGGGGACAGCACGGAGGGACACGGTGGGGTGAGGATTTGTACAGTATCGTCAGCCTGGGAACAGCACTGTGGGGCGATGGCACGGCTGGTTTGGGGACAGCACGGAGGGGACACGGTGGGGTGGGGATTTGTACACCAGGCAGGACATGGGATGGGGCTGTGGCAGATGCTGGGGGTCCCAAATTGGGGACCTTGGATGGGAAGGAAGGGAAAGCACCTGGTGACAGAGGGTGAGGAAGAGGGCACGGCAGGACAGATGGAGAAACCAGGATTTGAGGTTGTGGGGCTGGACTGGTAGCTGAAAGCAAAGCAATGGAGAGCAAAGGGAATAGTTTAAATTTTGGGAGGGAAGAACCCAGCAGGTTTGGCAGGAGCTGGATACGGATCAAACCAGCTTTCTAAGGGAAAAAAAAAATCGCTAGAACCATGTTTGTAAATGTCCTACTGGAAACAGCAAAATGGATGGCAGCCTTCATTTTGGGAGCAGCAGGAGCTGCTGTGCAGGTGCCGTGGCTGTCCCTGACTTCAGCCATATTTGAGGAATAACCAAGAGATTATTCCTTGACTTTTGCTGGAGTCCTTCCTTCTGGAAGGAAATTGTCACACCCTGAAAATGAAACAGCTTCTGTGTAATTCCTTGGTACCTGCACAGCTGTTAAAAAGGTGTGAGCAAGGAATCTGGGCTGAAAACAGGGATCAGGATTCTGCTGCATCTCAGCTGAGACTGGCAGTGCTGAGACATTGTTGTTACCATATTTATGGGAAGTTTTAAGAGTGTTCCTGCACTTTTTTTTTTGGTTGTTGGTGAAAAAGGCAGCTTCCCTTCTGCCCTTAGTATGAAAAATAGGAATAGGGGACTGTGAGGTTGTTAATTAGAGACTTGTTAAAAGGCTGCAGGGACGGGAAGGAGATCTCTGGTATGAAAATGAGGGAGGACTCAGAGCTCTGCATTAGGTGATGATTCTCCTTTGCCTTGCTTGGGGCAGTTTCTGTGTCTTCTCTGGAAAATGTGGATTAAAGTTGGCATGGGATACTTTAAGGAAAACGGGAGTTCTGGCAGCTTTCAAAAAAGGGTTTGGATGGAGTCTGGAAGGTCAGCGTGATGGGATTTGGGATTACAGTGTACTCTGACTTTCCTAAATTATTCTTGTGATAAGTGGAAGAGAAATGTGCTGGAGCAGGTGAGTCTCTTAGCAGGGACAATACCTGATGTGACAGCCATTCATGTTTTGCAGTTAAAATGCTCCATCCCACCTTAAGGAAGACTCAAGCCAAAATGAAAGGAAAGCACTTAAA